AGGGGTGGCATGGATTATTCATGGAAGCCTACACCACTTCACAAACACAAAACATCAACATTAGACACACATTTTTTCCCGGATTTTTAGACTTAAAAAAGTATTTGCTTGAGTTCATGAAACTTCATGATTTTCAAGTTGAGGAGGCTTTGTCAGATTTAACTACCTTTTGTAGACTGTTTTGTCCCCAAACCATAACCAGGCATGTACTCACACGCACCTGTTTTGCTAAAGTAATACTAAGGTCTGGAGCGGAGTAAAAAGATAGATCTGCTCTCTCATAAATTTAAGCCAATTTCACACAGGCAGAGAAAATAGCTTTGCTTTGCAAAATTGCTTCCCTTTTAAATCAAACATTTTTTTAAAAATGAAAACTGTACTAAATGAAGCTGGATTTTTTTGTATAAATATAGAATACTGTGATGAGTTAAAACTAGAAAACTGCAAGCTAGAATAGAGAAAAGAAAATGCTTACACATGTGTATCATGGAAAAGTCACTCTTCAGAGCGAACACTGCGCTTTCTTTGATGTATTACTTCATTTCCTAGTCACAACCAGACTCTATCAAACTTTAATGAAAACATCCTCATCCCAGCGACAGATTAATCCCTTTATGGATGAGAATATTCCCACACTGACGTCAGAACTATAGAGATGTTTGACTGATCCTTATTACACCCATTACAGCTCGGTATGCTGAAATGAAGTGAGCAGAAAGTGCTGTTTAATAATTGAAAGATTTTAATTCTGTTAATGATTTTAATTCATTTAAATGTCACAATATACAGAATGAATTAGAGGGTTAGGCATAATTCAGAATTATAAAAACTCCAAACATGAGTTGGAATCTGAAATGCATTGAGCAATGCATTCATAAACTGGTGTATTTTGTTCTAACAATAATAGGAATGACTTTTTTTTTTAGATTTTTTAAACATACAAAAGATCCAATAACAAAAGTAAAAAGAGAGATACAAAAAGAAAGAATCAGGGATTTGAATGAATGAATGATGCATTTATATAGCACTTTATTGTGTATTGCTGTACACCCAAAGTGCTTTACAATCATGAGGGGGTGGGGATTATTAGGAGGCCATGATAGACAAGAGCCAGTGGCAGCAATTAGGCCAGGACACCGGGGATACACCCCTACTATTTACGAGAAGTGCCATGGGATTTTTAATGACCACAGAGAGTCAGGACCTCGGTTTAACGTCTCATCCGAAAGACAGTGCTTTTTGATAGTATAGTGTCCCCGTCACTACACTGGGGCATTAGGACCCTCACAGACCACAGGGTGAGCACCCCCTGCTGCCCTGACTGACAGTGCTTGCAGGTCACCTACTTGACCCACGGTAAAGCCAAGAGAAGGGCAGTCTTAAGCGACAGGGGCCGTAAGTCAGCCGACTGGAGCGGCTCAAAGAGGGGGAACTGTAGGGCCCTAACGATTATAGACAAGTCCCACGTCAGCACAGTATGAGGACGAGGCAGATTCAATCTCTGAGCTCCCCTCCGAAACTTAATGACAAGGTAATTTTTACTGACTGAATGACCAGCCATGAAAGCATGATTCACCACAATGGCTGCCACATACACTTTGAGCATGGAAGGGGTGCATCCCTTATCCAGCAGTTCTTGCAGTATGGTTAACACAGATGACGCATCACAAGAAGCACGTTCTGTGCTGCACACCAGTCAGAAAAGGCTGACCATTTAAGGACGTAAAGACATCTCTAGCCTCCAAAATATTATTAGTCACACTCGCGGGGGGCTGTAAAGACTCCTGTCGAAGGGCCAAACATGAAGGCTCCACAGCTCATGCCGGGAATGCCAAATCATGCCTCTCATTTGTGAGAGGAGGTCTGTCCTCAGTGTTATCGGCCAGGGGGCTGCCGAAAGCAGCTGAATCAACTCGGGGAACCATGTCTGATTCCTCCAGAGTGGGGCCACCAGGAGGACTGAGCATCTGACTTCCCTTGACCCGTCTAATGAAGGAGGGCAATCGGAGGGAAGGCATACAAGCTAGCACTGGGTCATTCGTGGGCCAGAGCGTTTCGCTGCTTCGAGAAGTAAATTGGGCAGTGAAAGTTGTCTTCTGAGGCAAAGAGGTCCACCTCTGCCCTTCTGAAGACAGACTAGATCGTCTGAACCATTTAAGGATGTAGTCTCCATTCTTCTGGTGCTACATTGCCCCTGGACAGCATATCGGCTCCTTGGTTCAGTCTGCCCGGCACATAAACTGCTCTCAGTGAGAGGAGGTTGCACTGTGCCCATAAAAGGAGCACATAAAAGGATAAAAGGAGCTGCAAAAGGAGACGAGGGGCGCTGAGTTTCACGTGCAAAACACACCGGCAGATCAAAGTGCTGCGGGGAGAGTGAAGTACACGTGACCTGTGCCGGCGTGAGATCACTCAAGCCCAGTTGCTCAGCCCGTGACTCCACTGTTTCTTCCTTCAAGGCAGCTGGGAGGGGAGAAATGGGAGAGCGGGAGGGGTGGGGCCACCTTTCATTGAAAAAGGCGTTTCACAAGCGAAGCAGGGCAAGACTCATACTCTCACAGCGAGCGCAGCATTAGCGTGGGTGTGGCCCAGGCAAGCACCGCACTCACTGTGCCTGTCTGAAGGCACATAAGCGGCACGGCATTTACAACAACGCCGAGGAAATTTGCTCCAGAAAATTGGCTCTTTGTGATCACCGGATAGCCGCAGGGGAGAAGGGACTGAAGAGGTGCATCTTCCCACTGCTGGGGCTCTTCCACGGCGAGTAGCAGGCTTCGAGCTTCTTGCTTCAGAGTCCAGCGAGGAGATGATATTCGTGCTGAAGGAGAAAAATTCTGATGAAATGGTACACAGAGCTGACTTATATAGCTGTTCAACCCCGTTTTGGCGGGTTGAAGTGCCATTGGTTTGTGCAGCTACACGAACGTGATCAAATCAGGCTTCAGTATTCAGAGTAAACAGGAGTTTCCCCATAAGCATCATTGACGCAACGGGAGAGGGTGTTCGAAAGGGAAGCAAACGTCCATGTTCCAAGAATTCATTGGCGTTTTGCATGATCCTCTTCTCCACAAGATGGAAACATTCATCAGATTAGGCTTATGATCAGAATCAGAATCAGAATACATACATATATAACAGGAGAATAGAAGAACATTTAAATAAGACTAAGTGAAATAATAATAATAATAACAATGTGGAATACATCTGGGACAGAATATTTAACAACAGGTTTGTGCATTGTGTACTATATAAACAGCTGTATAAACAAATATGTATGTATTTACATGACATCTAATTATTGCCTCTCTCTCAAGTACTGAGAATGAATTATAAAAGCAGGTGGTAATTTCTGTGTTAGCTGTTTCAGCTGGAGATGGCATGGGGGAAAAAAAGTTTTTATGCCTAGAAGATGTTCTAGTGCACAGAGATCTGTAACGTCTGCCTGAGGGGAGAAGTGCAAACAGGTTGTGGCTGGGGTGAGAGGGGTCTGTGATGATGTTACCTGCCCGTTTCTTCACTCTGCAGATGTACAAGTCCTGAAGGTTGGGCAGGTGCACACCAATTATCTTTTCAGCTGTCCTAATAGTCCGTTGCAGTTTCTTTATATCTGATTTGCTGGCTGAACCAAACCATGCCGTTATAGAAGTGCACTAGACCGACTCAATAACAGCTGAGTAAAACTGTGTCATCTGTGCCTGTGGAAGGTTGAGCTTTTTCAGTTGACGAAGGAAGTACAACCTCTGCTAGGCCTTTTTCACAGTGGAGCTAATGTGATTGTACCACTTCAGGTCCTGAGAGATGGTGGTGCCCAGGAACCTGAATGGCTCCACTGCTGCCACAGTGCTGTTTATGATGGTGAGAGGGGGGAGTGCAGGGGTTTTCTCCTAAAGTCCACAGTCATCTCCACAGATTTGAGCATGTTCAGCTTCAGGTTGTTGTGACTGCACCAGACAGCCAGCTGCTCAACCTCTTGTTTTTAAGCAGACCCGTCGCCGTCCTGGATGAGACCGATGACTGGTGTCATCTGCAAACTTCAGGAGTTTGACAGAGGGGTCTTTAG